CCCAAGGCCCCCCCCCCCCCCCCCTATTCTCCCTCTCGGTTTCCGACTCCCAGCTGCATGGTGGAACCTTGTCAACTGGGACTTCGCCAACGAGAACTTGGCCAAGTGCTGAGAGAAGAGGGCCAACAGAGGGCGGGGGATCTCCATTCTATCACAACCACATGCATCTCGAGAGAGTGGCGATTTTATTTGGTAGGATAGGTTTGAAAAAGGGGTGGGAAGAGTTGCGCATAATCGAGCGGTCGAGGGGCAAAAGGGCGCTGGGAAGAATGACGAAGGGTTTTTGTTCTCTCGAACTCTAGCGAAGCACGGTCGGGAGAAGAGGCCAGAGAACGCGGCAGGTCGAGCGGAAACCCAGGTTTTGGAGGTGAATAGACTAATATTTTGACAATTTCAACCGGAGTGCGTCCCCATCACCATCATCGCCGATTCGGTGTTGTGGCCTGTGCAGGGAAATTCGGGGGGGGGGGCGTAGTGGTGAAAGCTGTGTGTGTCCATCGTGTTCAGCCCACGCGAGTGCCAAAAGCCTTTTGATTGTCGGCTGCCAAGTTTTTCTTGGTTGTCCTTTTTGCGTGATCGTGATCGTGATCGTTCATCGAGCTCGTTTCCGACACCAGCTGCGGTGATTGCACGGATAGACTTTCGGATGTTGTTGCTGTTTTGGCTGCGTGTGGCGAGCAATCACGGTTGACCCGCGTCGTGCCCACTGGCTTTCAGGGAAGGTGGTGTGTTGTGGTTCGGAGGCGATCTAATCTGCTGTCTCTTCTGACGATCATCTTGTTATGTGCCTGCTTGCCGCTTCTGCTGCCCTCGCCTTCTAAGGTTGGTGCGGAAGGCCGCTCTTCACGACGAGGAAGATGGATGACATGACAACGATAGAAAGTTGGACAACTGCTGTACCTTTTTTGTTGTTGTCGTTGTTGAAAACGGCTGATACCTCCGAAATGTTCACCGGAAAGATCTTGACTGGCCCCAGAATTGGGATGAGACGAACACGCACACCCGGTTTGAAACATCCCTAAATTGCTGTACAGCACGTGATACCGGGAACTCTCCTTGTTCCAGCCGAAAGGGAAAGGAGGCACACCTTCACACATCACATATCCGTTTCTCTTTCTCTCGAGAGGTGCAGGCCATAAGATTCCGACACGCTTAGCAATGGCGTTGCCATCAGGAAGAAGAGGGACGATCGACGACTGCACAACGACAGGAAGAGGAAGCGCATAAAAAAAAAAAATGAGACACGATATCTGCTCGCTCGTGGACACACGTACCAAGGAGAAGAGATGATTCCATCACCTGCGAATGTATCCTCGAACCACATCTACCGTGGGTGTTTATCAATTGGGTGCACGACAAACAGCCAACCACACAACGCTGCAACACAGACACCGAAATTTTTCGAATTCGGCACGCGCACGAATTCCAGACTCACGACACGCCAAAAAAACATCCGTACCACCAGCCACCACCACGCTTGTTACGTTTGAGCCATGCGCTACATGTTGCCACAAGACAATTATTTTATCGCCCAAATCACGCCCAGGTACCCTCCTCATCGTAAACTTCCTCGGAGCCCCCTCTCGCACCCCCCCTCCCGCCGCCAACGAAAGGATNCCTGTGCACCTCCCCCTCCTCCTCCCCTGGAAACCTTGGCGAGGGCCTTTCTCAAGCGGCCACCTTTGCCTTTCTCGCGCTTGGATCGGGACGACGTCCGCGTTGGTGCCTGTTGGGTGGGGTGTGAGCGTCAGAAATTGCGGCAAAAATGAAAAAAAGGTGCAGACAGGGGTTATGGTGGCGGCGGAGAGAAGGGATATAAAAGAGGGGGCGGGCGAAGAGAGACATCGACAGCATCGTGACGAAAGAGGGAGTGTGTAACACACACACAGAGATATGAGTGCCAAGTTGAGTACAATGGAGCTTCGATAGCACGTGCCGCGGGTGTCGATGTACCGACGGACCTCCTGCGTGCCGCTGAGAAGGAAGTACGGGCGACTCGCTGACGCGAGAGAAAGTTGTGCCGAAGCACCAAGAAACATCGAGGTGATACATACACATTTGCATATGAGCGGCAGCTAGAGGACAACGAAGCTCTTCCTTCGCATTGTTGTTCCGACCGAGTTAAAGCTTATCCTATCTCCCATCTAACTCAAGCCTTTACGGCAAGTTTTGTACCTCCAGTTCGGATTATATTGATGCAAGAGAGAGGGGGGGAGAGAGACAGAGAGAGAGAAAACAGACGGGACAGCAACCAAAAGCAATGCCCGGCAATCAGGGTGTCCGTGTCAAAAGCACCGCGATTGCCACAAGGCGATACAGCTCTTACCACCCAAATCTTGCAACCCATGACGCGAAATGCACCACAAATAAGAGAGAAAGACGAGGGCAAAGCCTGCGAGAGTCAACACACCAGTCCCCACCCAAACGGGGTAGCAGGAAAGAGTACAGCTGTAACTAGTCGGTGAAAGCTTGCGTTGCAACACATGAAATAAAAACGACGCCCGGCATTCAGCTCCCTTTTTCTCTCTCCAGAGAGCTATTATGGCTCACCAGACCAAGGTCGACCTCCTCTTCGCTGTCCATCATCGCCGCGTGCGCACCACCGCCAACCCCCCCATCCTCGTCCCAATCAGCGTCTCCCCCGTTCAATCTGGCGTACCCCCCACCGGTGCTGGAACCACGTTTACGCCTGCTGCTGCGGGACCCCCGTTTGCTACCCCCCCCCCCCCCCCCCCCCCCCCCCCCCCCCCCCCCCCCCCCCCCCCCCCCCCC